CATTGTTTCAACCATGTTTTAACGGTATAAATCTATGGATGTTCATTTACTTTTTTCACGTAAAAGTAGTATAATTAACCGAATTCATATGCCTCGGATTTGCACATTAATTTCGCAAAATAACGATGAAATAGCTTAGTCTCTTGCGCGTGCCTTTTTCCAACACGCGTTACGTATATAATTGATGTACTGTACTAGCAATGGGTATACATAGCAACGATTTACAATTTCGGGTTTGTACTGTACATCCTGGATGGCGGTCATACAAGGTCACTGAATAATATTAACGTCATGGAAAAGTATTCTCTCGATCAATATTTCAAGGAAACTGCACCAGAGGACTATCGATTTCTTGATTATTACCAATATCGTAAAAGCAAAGAAGATTTTACAAGTAACTTTCGTTTAAGAGGCACGAAGACTTCGCAAGTGCTTGGAATATCTGATGAAATGTGGATCGACTCCAGAGAAAGAAACAGCTCAACGTTTGCTCGACGTTTTGGGGGCAAATATCTTTTCATTTTAATCATCACTGACAGGCAGACCGCTGGTAGACAGTATGGAGGGCCCTGTTAAGTCCCGAGAAGGGGAAACAACTTCCACGACTACGGTGAGCGCACGCGTCCCGCTCACTTTATGGCGATCCCGTCGTGGTCTACAAGCTTGGCTGTATCATATGCCTCTCTTGTAGAGGTGGGGCCCTCCGGTAGTCCCGAGAAGGGGTAACACTCACACAACTATGGTGGGCGCATGCGTCCCGCTCACCTTATGGCGTTCACTAGATCCCGTTGTGGTCTGTTTTGCCAGCGAGTTTTTAATGGACAAGATAGTAATAAAATTGCGTATTATTTTTTTGCAGAAACATCGAAGCAAGTTTGTAGATGTCAATCAATTTTGGAACGAAAAATAGAACGCGATTCTCTAGACATTGAATATGTCAAAGAAAAAAAAAAAAACTGCAAGTGGACCAGGTCAATAATATTAACACTCTGATATTATTATATGTTTGTTTTTCTAATTATTGTTTTGAATTATAGGTGAAGGTAGCCGTGTAATGGCACGAGGGACCGAAGAAGGTGCTGAAAATATTATGAAGAATGTTAATAGGGAGCTGGTATGATTTACATTGCTAACGTCATTGGGTAAAAACTGACCTATCTAATTCAACGTCAAATTTATTTGGTATAATCTAGGACGAGTCAGCTACAGATATCGAACCTTACTTATTAAGAAAGAGACCAAGGGTTGATTATGATGAGGAAAAAATGTTTGAGAGGCAATATTAAGACGGAGAAATTTCGCCATCACCATGCCACCCTGAAAGCTTCCTATTATTTGATAGCATCGATGAATCTGGCTTGTCAGATACTGGAATCGTGTCTAACTTCCCAGTCATCATCAATGATGTTGTGGGACTGCAATTGGGACCTTTACCTCGAGAAGAATCCAGATGGCTCGTGAATGACATAGATATCTCTGTGAAGTGGCATCTTTTCAAGGAGAAGTCGCTGGAATTGGAGGTCTCTTTGTGGAAAGTCATACACAGCAGATATTGTATGCTTTTAAAATTTTCATTTTGCTGGGTTATTGCGGAAGCTAATTGTAATTATCTTATACTGTAGGTCCTTATCACACATTCTTTTATTGAAGCCCAAACAACATTGCCCATTAATGGTAGAAGTTTTTGGTGCCGGATTATTAGAAATGATGCATAAGGATGTCATACAGAGACTCACTAAGCAAGAGACAGAGTTTGATGCTGAAATATTGATAAAACTTATCCGCATTGTCAAGGCATGCATTATCCTTTTACTCTTATTCGATGTGAAAAAAATTTTAATACACTCACTCTTGTTACAGCGCCTGCAACGAGAAGAGATCACGAGACATTGCGGTTTCAGAACTGCAGATTCTTGCAGTCTATGGAGAATGTGCAATTTTGAAGGCGTTAAGAAACATGTAAAATTATAATGAATTTTGGACTAAGAGGGTCTTTTACAGTATCTATCGCTAACACACTTTATTTCTAATTATTAGTATCGAAAGAGTGCCAAGAGCCACATTGAAAAGCTCCATTGGAGAGGTATAATTGTGCACCACTTATATTGATCCAGTTCTCAGTCCACTTTTTATGGATCCCGATCACAACGTATTCCTGCGATGGTAGGCTCTTTGACTTATATTTTGTATATACATCCTCTAATCCATATAAATACCACAGGTCGAATAAGGAGGCGACAGGGTCCAAGGCTAGAAAGCCAATAGGGAGAGCCAAACAGCCTGATGCCATTATCAACGATGTTGACCAGCTGTCTTGGAGCTCGGGTAGAGGACATGGTGAGGCAAAAGTTCAAGAAGAGTTGAACAACCTTGACCTCCTTTGCACCGATCTAATCCGGGTGGCTGTATTTAACAAAGATGCGATCGACTTTACAACATGAATTGTGTGCTCGGATTTCAGATCGTTGTTAAGTTTCCCAATAATAGCTTTTTTTTTTTGGATCACGCATTACTAAGCAATTGCTCAATAGGGCAACATATCACATTCTACCTCACCACTCTTCTGTATATGTTATGGTGGAGGTTGGTCACGTCGATGTGCCTATGTCACTTGAGCAGATTCCTGCCTTCATCGCCAACATTGATACGCTTCTCATCATATCCAATGCGTTTTGGGAAAATTGTTTTGTGTCTACTGAAAAAATGGAATTAAGCAGGCGTAGCACTCTTGCAACACCAAGCTTTAAAGAAATGGTTGCAAAGAGCCGGGATCGGCATCGACCTTGTCAATTACGATTTTAACTTTTTTTCAGTTCTAGTTATTAATATAATAACTTCCAACTCGAAATTAATTCATAACTTTAAAATTTTCCGTCATTTTATGTTGTGGAATTAAGCTTGGACTGTAATGCATTATATTTGTATCCAAAATTTGAAAATAAAAAAAAATGCTTGATTGATGGATAATAGTGTGAGTAGGAGGCGGAGAAATGAGCGGATTGATAATCTAGATTAGATAATACTGTATATCATGATTTATTTTAAGTATTACTAGTAAAAATGCGAATGAATCTGCAAGATTCACACAGGATATCACTAGGGATCACGAAGAGTGGATTAAAGCTAATAAAAAATTGCAAGATGCAGAAAATTTCCTCGAAAATCTGAAATCTCGCTCTACTCATCCAATTTCAATGATGTGTCCCAACCCAATCTAATTGCAAGTGGGTCATCTACAGCCTTAGTAAAATCAAAAACCACGAATTCTCGATCTCGCAAATGCTTATCAATAATCTTGGATACTTTTTTCGGATTGTCCGTATATTGTCGAACGATTCTATGAATGTCGTCTCGGCTTCCCGCCCCCCGGAATAACGCAAGATGGCTCAGATTTTCGCGGATAATTTTAGGTGTTTGTGTATATTTCTGTGACACATACGTATATAGGGGAGATATTTTGATGCCGGCCACTAATGAAGTAAGGAATAATTCGTTCTTGCAATTTCTTTGGTTCGGCACATAGATCCTCAAACACTACAACTGTGCTTCGCTCTGGTAAAAATTTAGTTATATCTGGGATTTAATCTGGCGCTATCTTACATCCTTTCGATATGGTTTTGGAGCATTTGCAAAGATCTGGTACGCATTTTTTACTAATTCCCATTTCGGTTCAGAATGTTTTCCTATCAATACCAGATCATCATTTTGATATACCGATCACCTTTTTTCCTGTTGAATATACATTGGAGTTTCTTACCTAGCATAAGATTAATAACCATATTTGTTTTTCCGCTATTGGAACCCCCACATGCCAGTAATCTAAATGGACCATCTGGTGAATACTTATCACCTTTCATTCGTTCTGAGGATTTTTTTATACAAATATAGGCATGCCTTCTTTTTCTTTCATTCCAAATAAATTAAAAATACTAATCTATTATATCGAAAAAATATTAATCGAACCAGATAAGTATTTAAAGTTTTGCTTCTATTCTATAAGACCCAATTCACGAAGAATTTCTGGAATGACTTTATATGGGTCTTCGTAATACCAAACTTCTCTTAAAACAATCCAGTTTTCTTCACAAATATCCTTTTTAATTTGATCACGCTTCTGTTGTTTGATTAAGTTTTCTGGTTTTCCTTTATGAAAAAAATTATTGTAATATTCGTGTTGTTCTCCTTGAACTTCTATAGCTAAGCCATGTTGAGAATAATAAATATCCAGTTCTAATCCTCTTGAAAATTCAAGTGTTTTTAAGAAATTAGGTCGGCGTATTTTAGATGGGGGTCCAAGATATTTTGACACAATTTCTCGACATACTGTAAATTTTCACGTCTATTTTTTATACAACGTGGGCACCAAATTCCTCTTTGAATATTGTCAATTCGAGCTAACCATGAATGTCCTTTGGAACAGCTCCAAGATAGTGGTGTACGTCTATTATGGTAAGAAATAGAAAGACAGGTTCCACCCCTTTCAATTGCAAGATTTTGTGCATAATTGAGCCCAAGTTTCATACATTCACGACACCAATTTCCGGTATTTTTAACATCTGCAAGAGAAAGACGAAATTGATGTTTATTTTCACATTCCCACAAAAGAGGTGAAGAGTTATTAATATAATTTTCCGAAATACACCTTCCATTTTTAGCATGTGCTAGATTTTGAGCTACCAAAATATAAAGTTTTTTACTTGAACAATAAGAGCACCATGAATGGCGATTTTTAATACTATGAAATAGAGCAACCCATTGATGCTTTTTACTACACTCCCATAACATTGGTGTGTAAGAATTAATATAATTTTTTGAAAGACATTCACCTCCTCGATTTCGTGCTAATTCTCTAGCTATCAAAATATCTAATTTATTACTTCTACAGATTGGACACCACGAATTTTTGTTTTTGATACGGCAAAATGGAGCAGTCCATTGATGTCCTTTAGCACAATCCCAAAGCATTGACGTTTCACAATTAATGTATTCTTAAGAAAGACATCGTCCTCCACGAGATTTGGCTATATGAATTGTATCACTTAACGATAATTTCGGAGACATTGGAAATGAATATATTTTTTTAATAACCATTCTTACCTTCAAAATGCCGGTTCAAACTTTTCTATTTTCATCCCGATTAAGCTAAGTAATGCTAAATTATTATATCGAAAAATAATGATCTTTATTGTGATATATACATATTCACTGGATTTTTTATAATGATATCCCTTCACAAGATATCAGTCTCAAATGTTGGAGTTCGGGACAGGAATATGCAATTGCTTTTAATGTTTCATCTGTGATACCACAATACAACAAACCAAGATACTGTAATTTGGGACAAGAACGCGCAATTTTAATCACATATATATCTGTAATATTCTCGTCACATTCCAGACTAAGATATTTCAAGTTTGGTCATGAATCAGCTATTTTATTTAAAGATTTATCAGAGAGATCAGAAGAGCCAAGACTAAGATATTCCAGATTTTGGTTTGCGATTCCACAAAGTATTTTATCATTAATACAAATATAAATAATTTCACCAGAGAACCTCTTTTTAATAGTGTTAGAGTCGAATTTGAAATGTTTTAGATTAGGCCACATTTTTAAAGAATCCGCAGTCGATTCATAAGAAAAACCCTTACACCCATCAAGAATGAGATATTCCAATCTGGGGGTTTCGCAAGCAATCTTAATTAAAGTTTCATCTGAAATTTTACATTCATGAAGAACGAGTCGCAATAGCTTAGAACAGTAAAGAGGTTTTTGATTTCCACGCATCACTTTCTTGAATTTTTCGAATTGTACTAGATTTCTTTTATCAAACTCCGCATAACGCCAGATAATTGGCCCTGCACATGAATACAAAATTTATTAACGAATAAGGTCGATTACAATTATCTATCTTCAGCTAAATTCAAGAAAATTTCGATTAATATTTCAGGTAAGTTTAGTGGATGTAATTTAGTAACAAAGTGATTGTTTTTATCAATATACAGTATGACATTGGTGCTTATATTTGTAGATTTATTCTATATTTGTTAAATAACCTTTTTCGATCAATTTGCTTTTTATATAGGATAACAAATCACATGTATATGGTATTGAAATAAGATCTATACCTTGCTCCTTGCATATACTGTATCTCGCTTTTTTTGGTCATGTTTTCTTTGTGCATCTAGGTCTGTCTCACCATTGGGATGAAAGTGTTTTGGAATTACACGAAAATGTTGGGTGCCATGGAATTCGAATGTTAATTTTAGCTCTTCATTATACCCATCTAATTGCATCCCATTCAAAAATGATGGTCTACAAGATGGAAATTTCTCATCTAACAGATCTTTGAAAATATATCTACAATGATGCTTATTGATGTGATAGAAGCAAAGTGGATACCATTCAAATTTATGTTTCTGAGTCTTATAAGGTGCTTCCCATTGATGGAGTCCATTTTTACAAGACCAGAGATATATATTAAAATTATTTATTTGACCAGTTTATCAAGATATTCTCCATTACACTTCTTTGCATATTCTTCAGCCTTAGTTATTTTATTAATAATATGAATAAAATTAACAGATCTAGAATGAGTATTTTCTTTCAATATACTCTGGTGTAGATACTGAAACATATTTATATTTACATGCATAAACTCTTCTTTTACAAATCTATGTGATAGGGCATATTTGTTATCTAAATAATATAAAACTAGTTCTTTTTTTTTTTATCACGATTTTGCAAATTTTATGTAAAGAAGAGCTCCAAATTTCATCTGTTATATACCTTTGATTTTCTATACCCCCTTCCTATTCTGCATTAGCAAATAAGTAACAAACTATATCACCCTTCTTTAACTTATTCTCCTCATTTTTTCCAATAAAACATTTATACTTTATAGATAGTCTAAACTTTACCCTATCCAATCTAATTGCCTTCATAAGTACTATTCTCATTTCTTTGATCCTGGTACTTACATAAGTTATATTGGATAATTATTCAAATATTCAAGAACTGTTGATAAATATTTAATTTATGCTTTTATTAATTTAGAATTCCCAGATATACTTTCAATAGCAAATTGGACTTTGTATAGCATCTTTGCCAATGTCTTACAAAACCTGTTTATGATTGTAAGATCTCGATGAGAATATAGGTCTATAACTTAGATTGTAACATTATATGCTTTCATTATTTTGAAATTTTATTTATAAATTCTCTATCACCATCACATTGTAGTAAATCAGGTCTAGTAAGAGAGATATTTGAATTATTATAATTTTCTTAAATGCTTTGCCAACTTTTGAACTGTTCTTCAATATTAATGGATATCACATTTAAAACAAGATGCAACATTTATAATAGTAAGTGTCTATTTATATGTCTTTTTATTAATATTATTATTTATAAGATGCAACAAATCACACATATGTATACAGTTTGAACAAGAAATTGTTTTATAACTTATCTGTAGAGTATTTTTTGATAATAAAATATATTTTATCATTTATTATAATTTTTTTTTTTAACCCACAATCATGCCACAATGGTATGTCTTTAGTGAAATATTGAGAAATATCTAAATATTTTATAGATTTTCACAAAACGACTAACTCATCATTGTATATTATTAGTTAAAGGACTACACTACTTAAAAAATATGAGACATTTACTAAGCTAGTTCAGATTAAACAAAACTAAGTCTAAACTAGGTACTCTAAGTCAGATTTAGGAGACAATATTTCTCTCTCCTAGTAGCTTTGCAAAAGTACCTTTAAAACAACCAGTGCCATTGTCAACAGTTTGTTACTATAGATTA